ATGGTATGCAAATAAATTTTAATTAGGAATTAGCTAATATGTTAATGCAGGTCAGATATTATATTAATGCTAGCCAGGTATTATGGTAATGCCGACCAAATAATCTTATTTCGGGATCATATTAAAAATCCCGCGCGTGCCCATTTCTATCCAACATTATATATTCCACTAGCACTCCCCATCTCTGCTGATTTTGATAATAAATGAATGCCTTAAATTCATCCTTTTCAACTCCAATTCCATGTCGATAACAGTATCCAACCTTATGTGTTCTACTAGCGTTCCAATCTCTGCAGATTATTGATAATAAATAAATGCCTTATGTTTATCCTTTTCAACTCCAATTCCATTCCGATAACAATATCCAAGGTTATATATTCCTATAGAATTCCCCATCTCTGCTGATTTTTGATAATATAAGAATGCCTTTTGTTCATCCTTTTCAACTCCAATTCCATGTTGATAATTATATCCTAATATATAAGGATCTAACTCACTTGATTTTTTATTATGAACTGAATTATTATAATCCTCCATTTTATTTTTTAAACATAAGAAGTAACAAAAATCCGAATTTATAGTTCAAATTATTGTAATACAAGTGTACTATTATTTAATAATATTGAGCCTCTCTGTCAAGTGACACAACTTATTATAGTAACGTCAAGTAAACTTTAACCTCAGGACCTTAAAATTTAATTTTCAATAATATTAGTATTAACATAATCTATGGCATTTAATAAACAAAGAAATTTCATAAACATTTACTTAATGTCATTTACTTCGCGTTTATATAATAGGAAGATTTTTATATTGAAACGTGCATTATTACAATGAAGATAACACAAATAAAGCATAGCTATAAATCTTATGTTAATATAATTATTCAAGATAGGTAAGTAGCAATAGAGTGCTATCCCAATAAGACCAATAAATATGATCCAGATTTTTTTTAAAAAAACCGTCAATAACTCAAAATTTTGACTATGAAACTATTCTAATAAAAAACTTTCTTATAAAGTTTTAATAGAGTAAATGATTGATTTTCTATACTAAATATCTAAAATCAGGTTAAAATATATCGCATATTAAGATTGGTTTGATTATTCGAAAAGATCTGATTGATGCACATTTGTCGGGTAGCCAAAAATAGAGATCACATGAAAAAATCTAAACTTATTAAGAGACTGTCAGAAAAATAAAATATTTAAAACGTTGGAAACTGAAGTATTATGGAAATAGACGTCGAAAAGAGATAAAATTTTACTGCACTTTTCAAATTACTGTGATGATCACCCACTATAATATTATTGTGCTTTGCAAAAAGGTGCGAGATTTTTCGATTCTAAGAGAATTATACAAATTTCCAAATATATGTAGGTATCACTGATCGAATATATGATTAATAGAAATCTAGAATCTTCGAAATTCTCAACCCACTATAAATCTTACTGTTGGTTAACCAAGCAAAAAAAAATTTGTTTTTTTAGTTGTACTCTTATAAATTTTGAACAAGGGAATTATACTAATACCCCATTTATTTTTAAAGTTCAAGGATAGTTTTGAATTCTGCATATTAATAAAATTCAAAAAATAATCTTAAGCATTAAATTATGTAAAGAGAATTTGCACGGCAATATAATAACTAACCAATATCTCGAAATTTTGATAATGCAACTATTTTTTATAAATTACACTAACATTAATTCTAATTCCAACCTGATCCTAATGACAATGAGCAGAATTGTGTTGATTATTTTAATACATTTGAATTTTATTTTTATACAATTTAAAGACAAATATTTAAATAAAATACATTTATGAAATTAATTCATTGATATAAATGGAATGAAAAGCATCATATAGTCTTTCATCTTTTTTATCCTTAAACAAACTTTTGTTCACAGTTCTTATAGGTACCATACTGGATCAGACCTGGGATCTTTCAACAGAAGCTATCAGTTTTGCAAAATTTTCACTATTTCGCATTAATATAATATCATCTTTTAATGTATTGTTTTTCACATTACCACTATCGCTATTATTTTTGGCATTACTTGCGATTTTTAGTGAAACATTATCAAAGCGAGCATTCTGATTACCGTTGTCATCTTGGATTTCTTCATCCTCTTCAATAATTGTAACATAATGATCAGAATACATATATTTAACAAATAAAATGGTGGCTAATTCTTTACAGAATTCCTGTAAAACTATAAAAGCATTTACAAAATTAGTAAATTTTGCAAATGGATTTATAGTATTATCTTTATAGTAAGCAGAGTTGGGCTCACTCGTTAAACTATAAACAGATGTTATATCAATAGATTTTCTTGAAGACATTGATGGGGTACGACTATGAATAGGTGTCATCATTATAGGTGATACTGGTGTGCTACTAGAAACGCTACTTAAATCCGTGGATCTACTACTTCTGTGAAATGATGATTTAGCTGAATTACTCATTCCACGTCGTTTGGCTAACTGAATACGTGTTTGAAAGTTAGGAACTTTTGATGCTCCTAATTTCGCGTCTGATGCAATCTACATGTTATATATTATTAGTAATTACGTAATAATACAGCAATAAACAATAATTCTTTAGTTACCTTTTCCAAAATATCAACCAAACATTTTCGATCATTTAATTTTAAATCAGCATGAATATTATCATCACCAAATTCACCGTATAATAACCAATCAATTCTTTTATCTGGTATACAAGCTAATTTGCTTATTATACTTGTAAGTACCAAATTTCTTTCCAATGGCATTTCAAGGAAGCTTTCTAATTGTTCAAATATCATCGTTACAAATGTTCCTTCAAAAAATTTACTTCTTATTTTAATATCTGAAGATAATGATGATGAAGGTACATGATAAGGATCAGACCAATGTTCGCAAGCTGAAAAAACTAATTGAACTTGTTTTTGAACATCTAAAAAATAATCTTCATAACCAGACTCTTCATTCAATTTTCCAGCCATTTCCACAACTAGTGATGTAGAAATTGGTGTTGATGGGTGATCTTCCTGTGGCATAAGTGAAAGTAATCTATGAAGCAATTCATTAGAGTTTTTAAATAATAATTGCCTTTCATAATATGGTAAACTTTTTATAAAACAATTGTGCATGATAGTGCCACCCAGGTTGCGGAATACCAGATTGTACAACCCGAACTGATTAAATGACTCTAATATAGAATTGAATAGCTTTAGAGTCGCCAAAGAAAGTCTCTCTTCAGAACTACCACAACGCTCTATTAATATTTCCCTTAGTGATGCTATTTGTGTAGTCTTTTTAGCATCCACATCTTGTTGTAAAAGTTCATCTGGTGTTATTTCAGAATCAAGAGATGTACCTAGAAGCAAAACAAGAATTTTATTTAAAATTGGATAGAATTTAATAGGGTTTATAATCTCGGTAAGATAACTAGTTGCAGCGGTTGCCTGCTCATCTAATCTAAA